CAACACCTAAACATGAAAAACAAGATCAAATCACTCGCTTCCATTTTTCACTATTTTTTTTTTTACTAATTCTGATGAGTACTTTTAAGCAGAAGACGATAGCAGGTACCCAACTTTTTTTAAAAACTTGTACTTATTTTGACAAGTACTCATACACAGAAGACAGGGGCAAGTCCCTCGTTTCTATGGAAGGTAACTTGCACTAGTTTTGAGAAGTACTGCCATATGACATCTACACTGATGAAAGGATTGGATCCCTTTCTGTAATAATTCATTACATGAAGGTAGTGAGTGACCAAATGCTTTGTTTTACCTGTACTAATTTATGACTAATATGTAGAGTCCTAGTCCCATTTTTACCTGTACCAGTCCATGTTAAGTAAAACTAACATGCACAGGTAAAAGTGGGACTGTACAATGACAGGACTGAGTTTCTCACTTTACCAGTTAGAATTCAAAATGATACCTGCTTGAAAGATAGAAGTAGAGCACCTCATATATAAACCTGTACTGATTTATGACATATACATCAATGTTACTAAAAACTATGGCCATATTAGAATTTAGGATGCTATATACAGTGATATGTAGTAGGGCCAGACTAATACTTACCTACATAGCATAATTAAGGTCCAAGATTGATTACAATTTTTAAATGAATTTGCTTAAAGAGCCATAAGCTAGTGAAGGTGATTTTGATCAGGCGCTTAATGCTGTTGATCAGAACATGAATATCAATATTTTGTATACTTACATGAATGCATCACTAAACGGATTCTTGATTTGTCAACCAATAAACAGATTTGAAAGTTTTATGACAGCACTTTTAAGATACAACCATATTTAATAACCTGGAAATTATCTTCAGCTGTACAGTTTTTTTAATTGTACATCACAACCAGTGTCCATATTGGCTTGGGTCTAGAAAGCTTTTGGATATATCTTTATCATTTTGTAACAAATTATTATCAGAACTGATATCTATAGTACCTTAAACTACAGGTGACCAACAAATACATATTTTCTGTATTTTATTTACAGTACATAGAACTATGGGTAACCAAGAGGTACATATTACCTGTATTGTATCTACAGCACTAGAACTATGGGTAAACAAGAGGTACATATTACCTGTATTGTATCTACAGCACTAGAACTATGGGTAACCAAGAGGTACATATTACCTGTATTGTATCCACAGCACTAGAACTATGGGTAACCAAGAGGTAAGCACCACCTGTATTGTATCTACAGCACTAGAACTATGGGTAACCAAGAGGTAAGCATCACCTGTATTGTATCTACAGCACTAGAACTATGGGTAACCAAGAGGTACATATTACCTCTATTGTATCTACAGCACTAGAACTATAGGTAACCAAGAGGTAAGCATCACCTGTATTGTATCCACAGCACTAGAACTATGGGTAACCAAGAGGTAAGCATCACCTGTATTGTATCTACAGCACTAGAACTATAGGTAACCAAGAGGTAAGCATCACCTGTATTGTATCTACAGCACTAGAACTATGGATAAACAAGAGGTACATATTACCTGTATTGTATCCACAACACTAGAACTATGGGTAAACAAGAGGTTAGCATCACCTGTATAAGATCCACAGGTAAACTTCATCAAAACAGGTTCAATTTTATGTGATTTTTCAACTACAGTATCTTACATAGAACACACATACATGTACAGGTTAAGTACATGTATAATATGATGACTACTTAAACATGAACCTTGTAATCACAGGAAATAATTGGTCACATTATCAATAGTAAAGATATTCCAGCACTTTTGTGACATGAAAAAGACACTGTAGTAAGTTATAAATGTGTATAAACAACTAGCACAAATATACATAATAACTTATACACAGATCTCGTTTCCATTTATCTCTCATAACACTGCATAAATATATTGCTAACAGTATACGTTTTCCTCACACATCACAATGCATGCATTAGAATTGTATAGACCAAACCAAACAAGGTACCCCAACCTTTATGGACAAATCAAGGTCTTTACAACACAGGGTAACTGATGTTCAGTTCAAAGACAATACATTAAATGAAACAATTACCATGTGAAATTAGCATTGTGTTACAAATTAAATACTGGCAAATGATGACACCCACATTGATTAAAGCTACAGATATTTGACAAATTTGACTTGCAGTATGTTTTTACTTTGCCAAATGTTGAATATTCTACCCCAGTTTCCACCCCTGTTAAATTTGAACTTCGAGAAAAAGCTTGATTTTTTTTGTTGACATTTGTGAAAAGTTTGATTGAGCTTTCTATCAGTTTACTTTCATTTAAAAATCTCATTCATCATGGAGCGCATAGTTCTGGTGTTTTGTATGATAAATTTCAAAAGGAACAGGCAAATATTAAGGTGTAAAGGCACTTTGATCAGTACAATCAGAGGTAGAAAAACAAACCTATTAATCCATACATGGAGTATATTGCCCAAATTACATTGTTATGAATATCAATAAATTGCAAAAAGAAAAATCTTTTGATTCAATTCTTAATAGTATGAACATGGAGATAATACAATTAATGTGCATCACAAATTATTTTTAGACATTATTTGTGGGTTTTCGTTATTTTTTTTTTTATAGAGTTGTCCCCCTTTAAATACTCTGATTGTAAAGGATATATAAATCTTAAACAGAGGTTCACAATCAATGACATTTGATTTGTAAATTAATCTATACATTATTTTGTAAGATTAGGGTACCATCAAGACCGATTATTTATCATCTCTGTAACCATACTCATGGTTCATTATAGGCATAAGTTCATTGCTGCATTTGTGCACTAAATAAATAGAATCACACTATATGCTGTATATCAAATACAGCCCCATAACAGCAGTTCAAAATTTGAATATTCGAAACAGCAATGATTTTAAAAGCTAAATGTAATAAACATAGGGATCATACTGCAGGACCTTTCAATTATAAATCATATGAAGGCATAGATCAAGGCACAATGTAAATTTCACAGCATCAAAATAAATGATGAATTGACAAAGTTGTGCTAGAAAAACTGCAATAATTTGCTTTATTTTCTAAGAAAGGGAGTATATTCTAGTTAACAAAAAAGGCTGAAAATTTTTTTTTTTTTTTTTTTTTTTTTTAAAAAAATGAAATACTTTTTAAATATATATTGATAACCAAATATAAACATTAATGAAATGAAGATCCAAATTTATTTTAATATTGAAATGCAATATCGAAAATTCCTTCCCTAGCATGTAAGCACCCTGTCTACAATTCACTTGACATGCCCACTTTTCTTTACTTTGCTTACATGTCCCCTTCTCTTTGTTCATAGATATCAAGGTGCTGAATGTCTGTATTAACAACAGACCTTTGAACAGGATCCAAGACAGCTAGTGTCCAAGCTCTTGGCTTATCATCACTGTTTCTCTAGGAGTCTGGTTGAAAGTATAGACATATAAATACTTATTACCTCAGCCTGTCATCATCACCATCTCTCCAGAACCTGAAGCATAGCCAGATGAAGTTTTTGCTGTTATGTTCCAATTCTGTTACCGACCTTCAATTTCAAGAAAATTTGCAGTTTCAAATTGTCTCAAAATCAGGTAAGACACAGACAGATTTCCTAGCCCAGCTTCATGTCAGCTGTTGGGTCTGACAGGTAGAGACTAGTGTTATCAATTTTTTTCAGAAAGTTTCCTGCTCCATTCAAAGGCTTCTTTCGATCGAGAGGCTACCATATTACTCACCTAAATGTAAACAGAGTCCTGCCAAAGGATACTATTTTATCCTCTATTGTAGTACTTACAGTTTACCACTGCGTTGCACAGTAGAATTTTTCTTCTAGAGGTGTCTTTAGATCTTCCAGTTCATTAAACAATCCATAATGTGAACTTTACACCAGGGAAAGTTTTTAACTCAATCAGCTGTAATCTTCATCATCATGATACAACAATTCTGGAGTTCAAAAGATCTGAGTCTAGATTAAATATTCATTATCTTTTCAATCATTTTAATGTTTAGGATTAGATATCGGCTAGGTTTTTGTAATGTCACATACCAGCAGTGGGTAACTAAGTTAAGATTTGGGTATTTGGACTTATGTTATACCACAAGTAGCGGGTAAACCAAGTTGAGATTGGTTATCAGCAGTGGGTAGCCAGACTGATGTTTGTCATCAAGAAGATTGGATTGCCAGGTTAATGTCATACTATGACCAATGAGTAAAATATTGTTAATGTCTGTCAATACCAAGGGATCACACAGTTTAAGTTATATAATAACCATTGGGTAATAATTTTTCTGTTTGTCACCAGCAGTGGGTAACCAGGTTAAATTTATATTATTACCACTGGGTAATCATATTTCTGTTTGTCACCAGCAGTGAATAACCTGGCTAAATTTATATAATTACCACTGGGTAATCATACATCTGTTTGTCACCAGCAGTGAATAACCTAGCTGTTTGTCACCAGCAGTGAATAACCTGGCTAAATTTATATAATTACCACTGGGTAATCATACTTCTGTTTGTCACCAGCAGTGAATAACCTGGCTAAATTTATATAATTACCACTGAGTAATCATACTTCTGTTTGTCACCAGCAGTGAATAACCTGGCTAAATTTATATAATTACCACTGGGTAATCATACATCTGTTTGTCACCAGCAGTGAATAACCTGGTTGTTTGTCACCAGCAGTACCAGCAGTGAATAACCTGGCTAAATTTATATAATTACCACTGGGTAATCATACATCTGTTTGTCACCAGCAGTGAATAACCTGGTTGTTTGTCACCAGCAGTAGGTAACCAGGCTAAATCTATATAATTACCACTGGGTAATCATACTTCTGTTTGTCACCAGCAGTGAATAACCTGGCTAAATTTATATAATTACCACTGGGTAATCATACATCTGTTTGTCACCAGCAGTGAATAACCTGGCTAAATTTATATAATTACCACTGGGTAATCTGTTTGTCACCAGCAGTGAATAACCTGGCTAAATTTATATAATTACCACTGGGTAATCATACATCTGTTTGTCACCAGCAGTGAATAACCTGGTTGTTTGTCACCAGCAGTAGGTAACCAGGCTAAATTTATACAATTACTGCTGGGTAATCATGTTTCTGTTTGTCTCCAGCAGTGGGTAAGTTGATTTAAATTATATAATCACCACTGGGTAATCATGTTTAAATTGTTTATAAGTAATAAGTAAACAGGATTATATTCTGTAGTCAATATTAGCACAGGAAGATTTGTGTGTAAAACATGTGTACAATAACATTGATGTGAGGACAAAGCTTAAAAAAAGAGTATAATGTAGAATATTGGTATGATGGTAATAGATTTGAATGAGGTAAAACAGTATCATATCATATTTGTTACTGGATACAGAACTAATAATACCATTCACACAGAACATTTGGACACAACTGACTGTCTAATACCAATATCTCAAAGCAGCATTCATCTTTGAACTCTATCCTTTTAAGCCAATTATCTAGTCTGCATTTTGCCTTTTACCTTTGACCTCTGTTCTTCCCATTAATGCATTCATTCCTATGTTGTTTGACAGAGGGACTTCTGATACTGCTGCAAGGCCTTCAGGTAGTTGGCTAATACACAGTTTATCTGTACCTTGGAGATTTCTTGCCTTGTAAACACACCAGACAGATAGTCTGTCTTAGCACAAACAGGAAAGCCAATCGTCTTATGTCAACTGACCATTGACTTCAACAATGAAAGTGTAAGAAAAAAACCTCACAGATGTCTTCATCACAATAACAATGATTTGTCCTTTTCTCTGTGCTTCATAGCCCACAACAGAGAAGGCACCAATCTTTGAATTCCACTCTAGATGTGTGCATATTGGCATAACAAGCTCATAGAATTGGATAAATCTATAAAGTAAAGCAGAAACGATCAGACCAAACCTGATATGTCATCCTCTCATACAATTATATAAACACACATTTTGACATATTAATTGTTAGCTAGGATACAGATAATTAACTTGTGTAGGATCAACATTGGCCACCAAAGTGTCCTTCCAATCTACAATTTATCGCCTAGGTATTCCCTCTCCTCTTCTCTGTCCTTAATCATTTTTCAGCCATCTCTATGTTTTCTCTGTCTCTCTGCCCTAAGACTAGTGTGAATGATGAAACAACTGACCACTATCTACAATCCATTAGGATAGCATTCTCTCTCTTCCGTCTCTTTCTTTCTCTCTGCATGAATATATATTTAATTGATCCTAACTGAAATATCTACTGAACATCAACATTCCTTTAGGTTAGTTCTCTCTTCTTCTCTCTCTCTTTACATGAATATCTTTTATTGATCCTAACTGACATAGCCCAACACCATGGGCACCCGCCTGTCCTAATCAGACGTTCTCTATATGAGCGTCTCCCCAGTCAATGCCCCATCCCTATGCACCCTGTCTCTCAGTGATTATGATGTAACAATATGTCTTTAAGTCCTCAGAGGGTACTAGGAGCCTCGGGTTGTGTGGTGCTGCCTCCCTTTGTGGCGATACCTGGTGCAGGTGTTACAACACTTTTCACTGTAGAAAGGATAGGTGCAGAGCCTGGCCTGGGCTACCAGGTTACATATCTTTATTGTGTCTGTACAAGTGGGATCTGTGGTAGCAAAACACAACATAAGTATTAGTTCTTATAGCAACAAAAATACAGACAACAGTTTACTTTGGCACAAGGGACATAACTTTTAATAAGAAAAGAAATACAAAGTTTTGAACAACTTAAACTGTCAGTACACTCCACACTGGTCATTTGTGTGATGAAGGTGATCATCTCGTCATCGAAACTTCACAATCAAAACTCCCAATGGTTGTGTTATAAGAACTTCTATTCTAATATCTTTAAAATATGTATCATGATGTGCAATTTCTAAGACTTCAAGAAAATAATAAAGGTTATAAGGATTTCAATGTCATAATTACTATAAATTAGAAAATCAGTTTGGCCTTTTAGGATATCTCCATTATGCCTGAAGTTTTCATGGTTTGAAAAATTGTGTTGTAAAATCAACAAGGACATAGTCATCAAGATCCCTCATCCCATCTTCATTTGTAAAATATATACATTTAAAGTGAGCAACATGGAAAACTGGAAAAGACATCAACCAATCAGGTCACAGCAGCCTAATTTATTATGCTTCAAATTCCCCGTCAATTGAACTTGGGCAAGGTATTAAGGTCACTAGTGTACCAACCAAGTTTCATCAAAATCTGACCAGTCCTTCAAAAGATGTCATACAGAAAGCAGCATCTGGACTGACGGACAGAACCCACTTGAATATCCCCTGCCAACTTTATTGATCAGGTATAATAGACTATTTGTTAATGAAGTAATAGTATTGTCACATGAGGAGATAGATTGATATTATAACACCATAATAAGTAATAAATTAATTCATGGTATAGAAATGCATCTCCTACAGCCATTTAACAGTAATACCTTCATCTAGCTGTGGTAGTTCACATGACTGTTTATTACAGGCAGAGCGTCGCGATGGCCGTGAAGTAACAGGACAAGCAGAGTTTGGCTGAAGCTTTGGATCCAAGCATTTAATTTCCCTTGTTCTTGTTCCAGTGTCACAGCTTTTAGAACACTGAAATTATAAATCATATGATTTAGTGCTATGTCAAATTTTTATCACAGGATTTAGATAAAATTGCGAGCTTAATATGTTCAATAAACACCTAAAGACACATCAGGTCTACAGTGTAACATTTCTAGGAACAAAAGAATTGAATTGATACACTGCCATCCAAATTTCTGATAGTATGAGATATCATACCAAAGATATTGGAATATGTTTCTTTACTGTGAAATCACTAATACTTGTGGAGATTTTCTTTTTTACATTTTTTATGAGAACTCCAAAAAGACAAATTCTTTGTTATGTCAATGAACTGTTGAAAAAACATGCAAATTTATTTGGCTATATTAACCTGTGAAATCAAGAGTCTACAAAAGCATTCTTTTGGATTTTTTTGGTTTGAAAAATTGAACTCTACAAAAAATGCCTGATATTACAGTAAGACGAAGGAAAAATCAAAATAGTTTTCACTGAAAACAAGGATGACACACTGCACAGGATCCACAGTACACTGCAGGGAAAATTTGACTGTAGAATTTTTTGACTTTACAACCAGTACAATGTTGAAAGCCTTTTACTTACCAGAAAGACTTTAATGTAGAGTAACGTCGACAGTAGAATAATACTGAAGCCCTTCAACTAGAACTCTAAAGCCAAAGGTATGCCTTATAAGCTATTGATGATTTTATTTAGATAGTTGTGCAACAAAACAGTACTACTAGACTTGTCTGATACCTACCTGTGACCACTGGGTGACAAACCATTCAGAGGGACACTCGGGCAGTGGTCCACAAGACTCTTCTGTCACTGGTTTGTCCGAAATATCGCAATTCACTGGCTTCACCGGCGCAAACAAACGTTCTCCCACCTTTTTCATACAGACAACATCTCTACGACGCACACCTTCCCCACAAGTAGCAGAACACTACAAAGTCATAACAAATCACAACAATCATTATTAGACACTCTCTATGTTGATGTTTACTTATGAGCATTTGCAGTGAAAACCGGGGAAATTATCTCCCCTGGTTGTTACCACTGACACAAGGCGACGAGGACACTGCAAGATCTCGTGGAGCCCCCGTGACAGTTTGGTGCAAACCTTAAATACAGCGCTCTCTTCACTCCTAACAAGCAAACCATATGGTTGTGTCCATCAAACATGAGAAACGTCACTGTACCTTTTATAGTTAGGAGCTACCCCTAAAGGGTCCTGTGTGAACGCACACAGGAATTCTCTACACATTTTACCTCCATTGGTGAATTCGTATCTTGTGTATGCCTAATACATATGCATGATCTGTAACAAATGATGGGGCATTATCAACTCTGGCTTGTTATGCTTTAAAAATGGTACCTTAAAGAAACAGAATTTATCAGGTTAATGCCATCCTATAACAACATAGCATCTCAACAACTTGCATTACTAACAAGGATTTAATCATTGGTTTCCCGATCCCAAAGAATACTTCAATGCAAAGTTGGACACTTGTTAAGGAGCAGATGTCTTTTAGACAATTACATATCTACACCATTACGATACACATATTTTACTAAATCAAGATGTGATTCATTGGTCTATACTGACTAAGAGTAGTTTGAGATCCATAAATATATGTGACTGAGAAAAGGGTGAAAGTTTCTGTCATTTCCAAGTGATGACCTTTTGACTTCAGAAGAAAAAAAGCAGGGGAAAACCTAGGTATCTAAATATCATGATTGTTTTCCTCTCAACAAATCACAATCACATATAGTAACATAATGGCAATCTCAATTTACCAAGGTATTCTGTGACATATATGAGCCAAGGGTTGAATTTCAAAGGACCAGCTGAATATCTATAGGAAACTTATTGGTAATCACCATTCCATGCCAATAACTGTTTATGTATGGTAAAGTAGTGATCTCCATCAATTTCACATGATCGTATGTTCATATGCTTAAATGGATCGTAATGGTTAATTAACAGTAACAGGTATAACAAGGTCTTAATTGATATTGATAGAAGTACATTTTTTTAAATTTACAAAGTTTCTTTAATGAATCCATCCTTTTCTATTTCTAAATATGTTCCAGCAAAACATTGGCTACTTAACACACCCATTCATTTAATATTGAATCTCTCTGACCCAACCGTCAGTCGAGATCCCATCTCCTAGCTGTTCTAGAGTAGTACCAGGTATTGTGCTCTGAACGAAAAATTGGCAGACAACCTGACAGACAATGGATGTCATACGATGCATCAGCTCATTTTTTTCCTCTGGGCGAGGTGAGCAAGATATTCAATAGGACGTAACCTTTCCTTGGTTAACCTTACATTTCATTTAGATGTCAATATTTGATTTTATTCCAACTTTAAAAATTCAAAAAGTTTTAAATAATAGAGGAAATGTAGTACAAAGCTTTGGAAGTTTAAAATTTAAAATCACTACACTCTTTATGATGAAAGGTGACCATTCAAACGAGGTATCTTTATGAAAATGAATTGAATGAGAGACAAAAAGTCAGATGCCTCAAATTATAAAAATCACTGCATGAGTCCATAATATAGTCTAGAAAGACCATTGGTAAGCACAACCATGTGACCTTCTGTTAAAATCATTCACCTTACAAATTATTATTGAAATAATCAAGATCAGGAAAAAAGTCACATACCAGATAAGCTTATTTCAATTAACTCCATTTCAATATTAAGAATTAAATTTACTTCCCAGACGCTTCTTTTTTACAAACAATCTTTACCAACCACATTTCTATCTATTTTGATTGGATTTGCACTTTATATCCTGAGTGTCATATCATGGTAAATTATAATAGATTACAGCCAAGTTACATTAGACAGATGGGCATGTTTTCAAGAGTTCTGGAGTCAAAATTCCCCAAGTCAACAAAGAAAACTGGTCAACATTAGTAGTAAGTAACACCACCAGACCATAATCAAAACACAAATACTTTCAAGGTCACCATCAAGGGAATTGAATGGTATGTCCTACAAGTACAATGTATACATTTGTTTCTTATGAAAATCAAAATGTAACAAGTAAGTTTCGATATATTTCAAACTTAAATCAATTAAAAATTTGATACCATATGTCAAACTTTTGATACATCGAGACTTCAAATCATGCGTGATGGGTTATATCAACGTTTTTCATGTTCATGGCTATATATAGCTGATGATCTGAACAAACACAACAAATACTAAAACACAAGTTTAAATTAAAAGATGCATTTTTATCTTTTAACAAAATATTTTCATTTAAGTGAAAAAAACATAACTTAAAATAAAAATCAACAAGAAATTGATCTTTCATGTAACACAGTATTTTACGGGTCAATTTTAAATGAAACGAAATTACAAGAGTGTTTGCTGATGCTCTGACGCCGACTAGTCTGAATCAATTGGAGAACGAATATAAATCATCATGTCTCTCATGCTTTAATGGTTAAAATTGAAATGTTACGCTGCGGGAATGTGTGCAATCATCAAACAAGTGATAGGATTTGCTCTGATTTTCAAAATTGTGTAAATTAGACCTAACTAAATGTCATTACTACAATGGTGGCAGTGAACATCACGAGAAGTCCCATTTATCTGTGATTAAATATCATGGCTTGTAAGTAAGCAATTAAATTTTAATCTTTGTCCTGTCATTAATTAATCTCATAACACAAAGCTAATGATAACTGGCTATCGTAATCCAATTTTCAGGTAGCACTCTTTGTTGAAATGTGTAAAATTTTGGACAGTACTGGTGAATGTTTTGTTCGAATCATGAGGTGTCAATGACTAAGTTAACGTAGTTTACGGTCCATGAAAAAACTTTGATACATGAAAAAATTTTAAATATAAAACTATGAATCATAAGGGGGTAAGTTAGTGGTAACATATAGAGATAAAATTTGGGACCTGACACCTAGAAATTGGAATCATCAAAGTTTGATTCATAGAAGTTTGACTGTACTTGATCTTTGAATTTGATTCAAATCTATTTCATAAAAAGCTACTTTGTTTAAATTATTCTAAATGTGTCATCAAGGCAACCATCACTACCCACCTCTGACCATGGTCCATCAAACCAACTCCCTCCGCATGGTTTTTTGTTTTTACACCTCTTTCTCTCGCGTGGTCGTGTACCAGCACATTTGATTTCGTCTAATGGAGTACCATCCTCAGCAGAGCAGTAAACCTTACGATAGAGGTAGCCTTTACCACAATCAGTTGAGCACTGCAAGGATATATATAATTTTGTTAAGTGTCTGTAGTATCTTGACACACTTTTTACATCAAACATGACAAAATATTCAAATCATCTAAATACATTTTGCAATCTTTTCTTCTCTTTTTTCCCTCCATCTTTTTTTTAAGTTTGCTATTAAAACACTCTTCTTTGTGTTGATCAAGTTTAGTTTATGCTGATGTTGTTAATAAATGTCTGTGTTTTATTTTTGCAAGTTTACATTTGTTGTGAATATTTTGTTTTCTTGCAAGAATGGCTCTATAGTACTTTGATGTTTATTGTTCATGACCTGCAACCTTCAATAAATATTCTTGTATTTGCAAGATTTTGTAGAAATAGCGTTAACAACTATAACCTTCAACATTCAAAATCAAAGATGGCTGCCTGTCAGTCATTTTGCTCTACAATCAGTCCAAACATTAATGAAGCATAACTAGAGACTGGGGGGGTTCTACATGGAAATTTCATAAAAATCTTTTCTGTATTTCCCATAAAAACTGAACGATAACAACTTTCAGCTTTCAAAATCCAATATGGCTGCCTGTAGGCCATTTTGTTTTTTCAATCAGTCTCAAATGATATTTGAGAAAGATCCATCAAGTGTTTATCAATGAATAGTGATATCAATTGTTGTTTAAGGATAGACTGTCAACAGAAAACAGACAAAGTATAGTTAAAACAGCCCACTATCTGATTATGGTGTGCCTATAACTCGCAATAAATTGTGACACGAAAAAACTTCTTTCAATAAAACACATTAAAAGTTTATATGTCATGCATAACACTAAATATTCAATATTAATGGTAGGTATAAACTCATCTCAATTGTCAAGGTTTTTTTATTTTAGTTTGTTTGTTGCCTGTTTTTTATGACAATGCATGGTGTCCTTGCACTTATAAACCGATGTTGTTAAAAAATGTAAAAACATGTGGCTAAGATAAACCTTGACATTGAAAATGAGACTCTGTGGACAACATCCTGTAAATACTTTGTGTACTTTAAGTATCAACACAATTGTTATTGGCTCATGGCTATTACCAGCGAGGAAGTGCTTCAATCTGTCAACGAGTGCTTATATTGAGTTGCAGCAATTATAATGTACATTACAGTAAGTGGTGTGTATTGTCACTCACTCCTGTAGGAAGTGCAGCCATTGTATATTGCCAAGCTCCCACACAACTTCCGTTCTTTATCATGACTGTATATTGTATTACAAATAATTCTTTGCTTTATTGAGATGTTTTTTGAAGTTTAATACCATAAAGGTTGTTTTTATAGAGGGGTCTATCTCTCGCCATTTCTAAACAAAAATTGTTAAAACAATAATACATTGAAAATCCAATTTTTAGGAAAGACACCTTTACAGTATGCTACATGGGTTCCATGAATGATACATCCTTTCTCCACCAACACCTTGATAAAATATTGCATTAAAAAACCTATCTATAGTAACATGTTTTCCATCATAAAGATGTCCTCGAAATGCATTTGTCACTGACAGCCAGGAGATATAACAATTACTTCTGGCTGGGGTTGGATGGTCCTATTACTTACAAGGAGAGAAGGAATTCAGTCAAGTCCTACAGATTTTTTAATTTCTACGGCCATTTGCACTTGTTGATGTAATCCTATTTCAGCTGAAGACTGAGTTGTTTTATCTGTGAGATAATCATCACATGTACACCCATCCTTATCCCTACTCCAAAATCTAGTTTTTTGCTCCGACATGACAAAACACATGCATAGAATCTTAGTTATAAACTACACGAACAAGCACAAAAACACACAATTCTTTTACATTGAATCCTCTTTACAATGGTATCTGACCAATCCTAACCTCTTTACACAAACATTACAACCACATCTAACTCTTAACAATGACATCACAAACAAACAGACCCTCTTTACAATGGCATAAAAAACAGACCCTCTTTACAATGGCATCACAAACAGACCAGACCCTCTTTACGATGGCATCACAAACAGATCAGACCCTCTTTACAATGGCATCACAAACAGACCAGACCCTCTTTACAATGGCATCACAAACAGACCAGAACCTCTTTACAATGGTATCACAAACAAATCAGACCCTCTTAACCATGGTATCACAAACAAATCAGACCCTCTTTACAATGGTATAACAATGGTATAACAAACAGACCAGACACTCTTTACAATGGTATAACAAACAGATCAGACCCTCTTTACAATGGCATCACAAACAGACCAGCCCCTCTTTACAATGGCATCAATAACAGACTATATCCCCCTTACACTGACTTAATTAACCTATGCCACTGACACTGACATCTTGATATCATGTGTTAAACAGAAATCATGAACACACACTCTGTAGATTTCTAATCAAGACAATATGGACTTTAAAACTTGAGTTTTTCTGAATGTGATTAAGTTTCAACCAGTACAATAGGATAATGGAAATATCTTGCCAAAAATATCCAACTAAACACTATCGATGTTCTCAAGCAGAGACAGTAAAACATTAAAACTATAAAAATAGATGTTCATTGTATTGCTGCACAAGGCATGGGTGTCTACCTCTGGAGACTTGTGCTACTCTCATACACTCACACTGTCAACATGAAAGGTATGTGCTGGGGAAGGCCCTGGTTGGGTTTTTATATTGTTTTTTTCTTTTATGGATCCCTGGCCAGAATCAAATGTACACAAAACAGAATGAAAGAAAACAGACAGTAAGATGTTTGGCGATTCTTCAAGTTGAGAGAGAAGTTGCGAGGCGTAACATTCCAGATATCCCAATCTACTCATCAATCTTGAACATTCCCACCAATCTCTCAAACACAACACTGCAATACCAAACTCATGTAGGTTCATTCTTAGTTCAGGGCATATCTTCAAAGAAATCCGTTTTTTATTCTTAGAGATCTGATGCTATTTACTGGCACTACTAAAAACTATGATGCTGTCATTCCTCAAAAAGAAAGAATATTTTTAAATCAAGAGATTTATTATTTTAATTCTTCTGTAAAAATTCATGTGATAAGATAGTAAAGCAGGTGTACATATTGAATCAGTAAACAGGAAAATGATGATTTTGATACCAAGATAATATCTCTTTTCTATTTGTTAGCTCAATGGATGGACACAGAATGGTGAGGTCATGTAGATTTTATTAAGAAGTAGTTGAAGTAACTTTACACCTTCTGTAAAATTCTATGACATGATTATTTTCCATTCTGTCTTTAAATACTCATAGCTGTTGATAGGAGGTGTGGCAATAAAAAACTGAACCTTGTTTTAATTCGAGATACTATATCAGTATAAGTGCATGTCCACATGGTAGTATCCAACTTACAGAAAAGGTATTATTATATAGTGCTGCTATGGGAGATATAAGAATCACCTGGGTGATATGAAGGTATCCAAATGTAGAGTTGGTATAGGAAGTGGCTGTTGTGTAGGTCTCCATGGATATAGGAGCATAGGCAATATAAAAGTTCACAATAAATACAGGAGTAGACACTAACGGAAAGGTTCTACATAAATAACTAGAGAGAGCAATATATAGGTAGGTCTCCATAGATACAGGAGAAGGCAGTGTAAAGGTCTTCATAGATCATTGAAGAGGGTAATATATAGGTCACCTGAGATACAGGAGTAGGCAGTGTAAAGGTCTTCATATATAACTAAAGAGGGTAATATGTAGGTCTCCAGAGATACAGGGGTAGGCAGTGTAAAGGTCTTCCTAGATAATTGAAGAGGGTAATATGTAGGTCTCCAGAGATAAGGAGTAGGCAGTGTAAAGGTCTTCATATATAACTAAAGAGGGTAATATATAGGTCTCTATAGATACAGGAGTAGGCAGTGTAAAGGTCTTCATTGATAATTGAAGAGGGTAATATGTAGGTCTCCAGTGATACAGGAGTAGGCAGTGTAAAGGGCCCCATATATAACAGGAGAGGGCAATATATAGGTCTCCAGAGATACAGGGGTAGGCAGTGTAAAGGTCTTCATAGATAATTGAAGAGGGTAATATGTAGGTCTCCAGAGATACAGGAGTAGGCAGTGTAAAGGTCCCCATATATAACAGGAGAGGGCAATATATAGGTCTCCAGAGATACAGGGGTAGGCAGTGTAAAGGTCCCCATAGGTAATTGGAGAGGGCATTATATAGGTCTCCAGAGATACAGAAGTAGGCAGTGTAAAGCTCTTCATAGATAAACAGTGAGGACAATATATAATTTCCATAGATACAGGGGTAGACAGTGTAAAGGTCTTTATAGATAACTGGAGATAACAATATATAGGTCTCCAGAGATACAGGGTTAGGCAGTGTAATGGTCCCCAAATATAACAGGAGAGGGCAATATATAGGTCTCCAGAGATACAGGGGTAGGCAGTGTAAAGGTCCCCATAGGTAATTGGAGTACAGGGGTAGGCAGTGTAAAGGTCCCCAAAGCAAATTGGAGAGGGCATTATATAGGTCTCCAGAGATGCAGAAGTAGGCAGTGTAAAGCTCTTCATAGATAACAGGAGAGGGCAATAAATAGGTCTCCAGAGATACAGGGGTAGGCAGTGTAAAGGTCCTTATAGGAAATTGGAGAGGGCATTATATAGGTCTCCAGAGATACAGAAGTAGGCAGTGTAAAGCTCTTCATAGATAACAGGAGAGGGCAATAAATAGGTCTCCAGAGATACAGGGGTAGGCAGTGTAAAGGTCCCCATAGGTGATTGGAGAGGGCAATATATAGGTCTCCAGAGATACAGAAGTAGGCAGTGTAAAGCTCTTCATAGATAAACAGCGAGGACAATATATAATTTTGATAGATACAATAGATACAGGGGTAGACAGTGTAAAGGTCCCCATAGATAACTGGAGAGGGCATTATATTGGTTTTCATAGATACAGAAGTAGGTAATGTAAAATTTCCAAACATACAGACTTAGGCAAAGTAAAAACATCCAATGATACTAGGCAATGGAAAGGTCTGTAAGAATACACGAGTATGCAATGTAAAGGCGTTACATACAGGAACAGGACGGTGGTAAAATCTCTTGCATACAGACCTAAGAATAGGCAGATGATGGGTTCTATATTATAAGATACGGGAGTACAGTGTGCCCAGTGATTACCACAATGGTAGCAGAGGAGTGTGAAGGCTACCATATTAATAGCCCCTTTATCATACTGATTATAAAAGTGTCAAGATAGGTAAGGGAAGCAGCTACAGCTATTTATCACCAGATGTAATACAGTGCAACCTTTTATATTTATACATAAATTATGATTTATAAAATGTACGTACAAATACACATATAAAGAGATATTTATTATGGTCTACATGCAGAGAAACGTGAATCAGTTGCAGTCTAAAGCTACATAGAATCCGAGTCTTTCCTTAATATACCTGTTATGCTATGTTGATGGTTATCCATAACATTTTAAAAATCACAGATGTATAGTGATACCAGTTCTATGCTATGTAAATACTCTGTACATTGCTTGTTTTCTACACTTCTTCAAATTCAACTCAAGTCTTATACATACAACTGATACTCTATTTACCGTCAGTTCTATACCTTCAATATACCGCGCTGTATCATATGCTTTAACTTCAGTTTTCCATTTAAATACAGAGACTGTAGCCAAAAATCTTTAAGAGAAACCTTCTATCATTAAGATATAATATATTTAACTACAAACCTATCTTGCATAGGGTCATCCAACATATACAACCAAATGTCTGGATATCTTACATGGTATCACGTTGAAATTTCACAAACTGTCACAAAAATATCTTACATTGTGTTACAATCATAAATCATTTTACACCTGGTCACCATAGAATCCTACATTTTAACATTGTGACAATAAAATAAATTGTCATAACGATATTGTACATCCTCTCACTCAGTTATTTCACATACTTTCATCAAGAAATAGTCACTTTCATATCTTATTCTTAGCTATTTGTACACAATGTCATCCAGAAATCTTAAATCTTGACATTGAGAAATTGTCAACTTACTTCCGGGATTCACTGTCATGCAAACACTTTATCTGCATGATAATTTGGAATGAATCTTGCACATGTTGTCTGTTAAAGCCAAGGCAGAACACCCAAGTTCAGACTAATGGTTTCCCGTTAATGTGATAATTACAGGGAGTATCAGTTTAGGAGGAGGGATGCAAAACGCAACTTCACATGAGTTATAAGATCCCCTGATTATCACTGATCTACGGCCAATCAGCACTTACACCTTTCACCTGAAGTTAAATGGACTGTAAAAAAAACTGGGAAAATTCATCATGAAAGCTGTAGGAGTGTCAAAGTGACAACTAATTCCATACTTTTAAAGGTTCTCTATTGCAGTCTATGGTTTAGTGCTTTCTGAACAGAGAAGGCCTTCACAAAAACTCAGACATGTACCCATCCCATGGGAGGGTATAAGTCTGCAGGGACCCACACATCACGCTTGTATTACTCACCAAGTAGGGCCATTAGCTTGGAAAAGTACCACCAAAGTAATCTATCTACATCTTCACAGGGCTTTTACATAATCTCTAAGATGATATGTGCTAATAGTATTATGTGCAGTATACACTAGAGCACCATCATGTTACTTTCCATTTTGTACTCTATATATCATGATATAAGCCAATGGTGCCAAATTATTGCATCTGACACATGGGGTGAACTAAATATTACAGGACAATGATTTGTTTGTTACTGTTGCCCTGTCAACAGCTATGATGATTTTGAGGCAAGGTCTCCTTGTAGCAGTGGTTACCTCACTGAACAACATACAGGAGGTCCATCACATCCAAAACCAAGAACACAACCACAGCAACACAACTTTTTCTCAGGTTTCTGAGAATCACAAACTCTCATGGATAGGGAGCATTGAATTTGAGGTTTCATAGCCCATTGCTCTAACACACTGACATATTGCAGCCACTAATGATGATGGAATAATGTTTGTTGATATTTCTTCACAACAGTCGTATATGCGGTTGAGCTCATGAGCAGGTAAATTTATAACTTTACAAGTATCACCTATTGTATAAAAGCATTTGCTATGGTGTAGTTTTAACTTTTACAAACTGAATCAGCAGGCCCTTAGTTATGACATCAATCTTTACAAGTCTGATCATTCTCAAAAGTTATATAGAAGGAAAGAAAAACTATGGAAGAGTTTCATTAAACCTTACAAATTGATCACCATTTTCCCATTCTAAACTCAGCAATATGCTTTCTGACAAAAGTGTTCACATTTCTCTAAAATATAACTCTAGACATTCAAGACAAGTTTGTCAAAGGTTTAGTAAAATCAGTAATTGGACTGATCACAGACACTAGGTTTCATGATGATCTCTACCTCACCGTCTATGACCATCCTCGGATTACTTGAATACCCAGTATTCTTCTAATTATCTACATGGTCCCAAGGAATTCAAATTTGCAAGTTTTTATTAAATTTCTTTAAAATTTTATTCCAGTGATGGAGACTTTTCCATGTAATTAAACAACATAAAATTTGCCAATACTTAAATTTGTTTTCAGCTTCTGCTACAATGGCAGCTGGATACAGAAGCACTACAACTGGTAAACATAAACCACAATGGAAACTGGATTCAAGTCTAGGACAACAGGATTTGTATTGACTGTAGCGTACAACAACTTAAAGCTCAACTGTAAAACACTGATTACAATTGAAAAATTTTAAACTATCTTTGCAACAAAACTGTTTACTTTTCTGAACTTCATATCAACATGTACTTTTAACCAACTGGAAAACACATGAAGTATTTATTGAAAAGTTTTCTCAATATGCAGTGTTGGCAGCTACCAGATAGAGTAGAAGGACCGCCTGGCCCTGTTATCACATTACAGGTTACTACATCAATACAAACGTGTTGACAGACATAGATTGATCTTCCTATAAATCATGACCTAACTCATTCCACACAGATTTTACCAAAATGTACTCGTAGCCATCAATGAAAATCTGACACCCCGGTGTACTCCTCAACAATTTGTCAGCTTAGAAGATCCTATATCTTACACCTGTTTTGGTTTGTTTATACAAAGAACACTGACCTCAAATTGAGAACAAAACAAACAGATGAATTTCATCAGAATTTATTTTGAAAAAAACTGGCAATCTGACAACAACACAACTTTGAGAATCAACTCCATATGACCATGTAGAGAAACTGTCTGAGGATCAACTTTACACAACCATGTAGAGAAACTGTCTGAGGATCAACTTTACACAACCATGTAGAGACTGTCTGAGGATCAACTTTACACAACCATGTAGAGAAACTGTCTGAAGGTCAACTTTACACAACCATGTAGAGAAACTGTCTGAGGATCAACTTTACACAACCATGTAGAGAAACTGTCTGAGGATAAACTTTACACAACCATGTAGAGAAACTGTCTGAGGAGGATAAACTTTACACAACCATGTAGAGAAACTGTCTGAGGATCAACTTTACACAACCATGTAGAGACTGTCTGAGGATCAACTTTACACAACCATGTAGAGAAACTGTCTGAAGGTCAACTTTACACAACCATGTAGAGAAACTGTCTGAGGATCAACTTTACACAACCATGTAGAGAAACTGTCTGAGGATAAACTTTACACAACCATGTAGAGAAACTGTCTGAGGATCAACTTTACACAACCATGTAGAGAAACTGTCTGAGGAGGATAAACTTTACACAACCATGTAGAGAGACTGTCTGAGGAGGATAAACTTTACACAACCATGTAGAGAAACTGTCTGAGGATCAACTTTACACAACCATGTAGAGAAACTGTCTGAGGAGGATAAACTTTACACAACCATGTAGAGAGACTGTCTGAGGAGGATAAACTTTACACAACCATGTAGAGAAACTGTCTGAGGATCAACTTTACACAACCATGTAGAGAAACTGTCTGAGGATCAACTTTACACAACCATGTAGAGACTGTCTGAGGATCAACTTTACACAACCATGTAGAGAAACTGTCTGAAGGTCAACTTTACACAACCATGTAGAGAAACTGTCTGAGGATAAACTTTACACAACCATGTAGAGAAACTGTCTGAGGAGGATAAACTTTACACAACCATGTAGAGAAACTGTCTGAGGATCAACTTTACACAACCATGTAGAGAAAGAGTTTGAAAATCAACTTCAATCAAATGGCACAATATAACAATAGACTGACTGGTCTGTTGAAGGCCTATTGGTCTATTTTGACCTTACATACTCTATAGATTGACCTTTGTGACAAATGACTGAATATTCACACTTTTTTCTTTCTAAATAACAATATTTTCAAAGACAACCACTGATCAATCTTCAGCTAGATAAAGGTCACCTACAAATCTACATACAGTTTATAAATAATTGTTGGTATCAGTGTGGTAATGTGTGGACATCAGCTGGTTGGCATTCCTTAGTTTGATTGTAAAACAAATATACAACCCAAATTTTATGACACGTCAGAGATCAGAGCAAACACATAGATAAATCTGAATTGAGTACTGTGGCTTCTGTGTGTTATAGATGTAACTTAGGTTGATTTTTAATTAGTAATGAGTAGCTTACTAGAGAGACAGATGTTTGGAGTCATGTCAGATAAGCCAAAAGGTATTAAGTATGTTTATTCTCCTTTGTCTTTTTTCCCTCTATAATCTCTAACTTGAGCAAATCTATCCATTCACCAGACTGAATGAAAAAAGTGAGTGAAACATTCCAGAACCATTTTGAGAAGATTTTTGACAATTGTTTGGTCACATCAGTATTTATCAGTGTTGTAATACAATCATTCCCAATCGTGGACTTACTTCTTTGGACCACCTGGTGTGGAACCATCCTTTGGCACATGTACCCATGTCACATGTGCTAACATTTTCTGGCCGGATACCATTACAAATATTCTCCATTGCCTCGCCCCCCTCAATACTTTCACAGTACACCTTCCGCACCCTCTCGCCACGCCCACAGTTGGTTGAACACTGTAAAAAAAAAACAAAAAAAAAAACAATGAATTTATTGATAAAATGTAAATAAAAATGCTTCAGAATCATGAAACTATCTCTTCCAATTCCGAACACTAAATTTACAATAATAATATTCATTTACTTATTTTTTCAACTGATTTTCCATTCTAAATCATAAAAAATAAATACAATAGATATATTACTAACAGGTCTACAAGAAAATATTAAAACTTAATCAGGTATAGGACTTGATGATAAAAAGTACTGTGTCGTGAATATAAATATAAACTGATTCTATGAAGGACTTGAATATTGTTACCATTGACCTATAACCTAACTGAGGAGTTCACAAGATTTGAAATACCTTTCCCCAGTCCTCAGCCTTCCAGGAAGCACATGCTGGGGCCTTACAGCTTCGAGCTGATTGTGGCCTCTCCACATCCCCACAACGGGAGGCAGCCACCCTGATGATTTGAGTATCAGACACGCGCTGTCTACACACAACTTCCCTTGTCTGCATGCCCTCCCCACATGTCACACTGCAGTCTGTCCAGTTCTGAGTGTTCCAACTGAAATATAAAAAGAAGCATCTTTAACAAATGAATGTAATAGCATGTTAACACCAAGGGGACATAACTCATACAATATCAACACCAAAGGAACACAACCAATGTAAGATAACAACAAGGGGAAAAACAAACAACAAAATCATCCCTAAAGGGACATCATTCACAGAAAATCAACAGTAAAGGGACACAATCAATGTAAGATAACAACAAGGGGAAAAACAAACAACAAAATCATCCCTAAAGGGACATCATTCACAGAAAATCAACAGTAAAGGGACACAATCAATGTAAGATAACAACAAGGAGAAACAAACAACAAAATCATCCCTAAAGGGACATCATTCACAGAAAATCAACAATAAAGGGACACAATCAATGTAAGATAACAACAAGGGGAAAAACAAACAACAAAATCATCCCTAAAGGGACATCATTCACAGAAAATCAACAGTAAAGGGACACAATCAATGTAAGATAACAACAAGGGGAAAAACAAACAACAAAATCATCCCTAAAGGGACATCATTCACAGAAAATCAACAGTAAAGGGACACAATCAATGTAAGATAACAACAAGGGGAAAAACAAACAACAAAATCATCCCTAAAGGGACATCATTCACAGAAAATCAACAGTAAAGGGACACAATCAATGTAAGATAACAACAAGGGGAAAAACAAACAACAAAATCATCCCTAAAGGGACATCATTCACAGAAAATCAACAGTAAAGGGACACAATCAATGTAAGATAACAACAAGGGGAAAAACAAACAACAAAATCATCCCTAAAGGGACATCATTCACAGAAAATCAACAGTAAAGGGACACAATCAATGTAAGATAACAACAAGGGGAAAAACAAACAACAAAATCATCCCTAAAGGGACATCATTCACAGAAAATCAACAGTAAAGGGACACAATCAATGTAAGATAACAACAAGGGGAAAAACAAACAACAAAATCATCCCTAAAGGGACATCATTCACAGAAAATCAACAGTAAAGGGACACAATCAATGTAAGATAACAACAAGGGGAAAAACAAACAACAAAATCATCCCTAAAGGGACATCATTCACAGAAAATCAACAGTAAAGGGACACAATCAATGTAAGATAACAACAAGGGGAAAAACAAACAACAAAATCATCCCTAAAGGGACATCATTCAAGATAACAACAAGGGGAAAAACAAACAACAAAATCATCCCTAAAGGGACATCATTCACAGAAAATCAACAGTAAAGGGACACAATCAATGCTACATTAACACCAAGAGTATAGAATCAACACAGTATCACCTTCAAAGGGACATAACTAACACAACCTATACAACTAAGGGGATAAAACCTGATAAAACAAAAACACCAAAGGGACACAACTTATACAACATCGACGCTAAGGGACATAACTAACACAGTATCAACACAAAAGCAAATTTATTTTAATAATTACCAAAGGGAAATAACATTACATCAAAGTGACATCCATATGCCATACCTATGTAATTTCTTTATTTTATGCATAGATTGCAGTTAACAGAATATACAGTACATATTTTTAACTCACCATGTTAAAACCACTTAAAACATAAGAGATAAAACAAAACAGATAAGAAAGTTTATATTCCTGTAGTGTTTGCAGCTCTGTGTTTGTTTTAACCCCCATACTGTAGATACCCCTGTCTTGACTAACACCTCTAGAATATGGCACAATGGACACTATGGATATCCTTGTCATGTCACGACTTACACCTCCAGTGCTTGATACACAGGACACTGCCCAAACACACTCAAATACAGGATAACACTATGAGACAAACAAAGATAATAGTGTGCTTTTTAATTAAACTTTTTCCTGCTGACATCCTGTATCATGTTTGTCTGATGGGGAGCCCCTCAACTATATCTCTGTATATAATCACAGGCGCCATATTGCTTCTGTAAAGGTCCCAGAGTAGAAACAATTAAATCCTGTTTTCTATGTCCAGATAAAAAACATTTATCCTTTAAACTGCTGACACGTGGGAGGGTTTAACTGCCTCAGGTAAATGGAAAAAATAGAGATCAGGTACACAGAAACTTGAAATCAGCTCAGGAACTGATACAAACAGATCATTTATTACAAGAACAAATACTTCAGTTTGACTAATATAAAGATACAACCAGCATGTTTATCCTTTAATAAACCACCTTGTATATGCATTTTCAAAATACTCAGGTGGTCATAGAAGTTGGGAAAGTGCTTTTTGATTCTTAAATCAATACAGTAACTTTCTATCTTTTTCAAAAGAATGGAATTTTAAACCGATTACAAGGCCAATATACACCCCTCATATGCCAAAATAAATAAATATTATTTTGGAACAGATGAAAATATTGAAATGTAACAACATTTCTAAAAACACCACTGAAAAAGCAGGATCAACTTGATGTTTTTACAATAAAGCTTACCAAGTCTAAAAGAAATTGGTCGACACCTGATGCTGAGGATATCTAAACATGATTAAAAATCTGAAAAGAATAAAAGGCAAAAACTCCTCCAAAAAACTGTCAAATCAAGACCATATATTTTAACAACATGGTTGCATTTCATCTAAGCATGTTATTGCTAGTAAAAGAATTACCCTTGGGCTTTTGGTTATTGAAAAGATTAATTTGGACACACATTTTATCGCAGCATTCATCTGACCAAATACCATCATTCAATTTGCTTCTTGGTATTAAAAAAAATCTTGTTATACAGAAGATAAGAATAAGACTTTTACTAATTTGACCCCTGTAGACTTGAAAGACGATCAAGGTCAGATATGATTGCCCCTTACAAATTTCCAGCATGGAACTTGCCCAATACCATGACATAGGGCCATTTATCTCAGGAGTTATAGAAAAAACTTCAGCAAATTTTAATGCCCTGTGTTAGTCATATGGTACCTCATTTAAAACATAGTACCTGCAATTAAAATTGAGCATTTTTGATTGGGGGATACATTTCATGCATGCATAAAAGGTATCCAGATACTTTATGGTAGGGAGTTGCTTTTTATGTATTGCAGTAGCTTCTTTTAACAGATGAGCTCAAACCCTTGTGAGCCGAATTAAACCATTATTTTCAAACTTAGCTGATTCAGGAAATAAATTCTCTTCAGAATATAGACATGATCCTAGTTGATGTATCTTAATCCAGCCATTGAACTTTCTGGCAAGGAAGAGCCTAAGGGACCACTTTATTTTGCTATTTGTAGAGAATGTATTGTTAAGTTGCCTGTAACTTTTTCACATGGTCAATATCTGAAAAAAAAATCCAGTAAGATGTTTATGTTCATCATGAACAATAAAGTCTAAAATAAACATCATACTTGTTTACAACATGCTTTCATTTGCTATGAATTGGGTACTTCAAATGTCCCCCCCACCCCCACCCATTTTTGTATGGCTACATTGCTTCTATTAAACATTATAAATGGATATAAAAAAACAAATACAAAATATTAATAAATATAACAAGTTTTTACCGGTAATTTTCTGTTTGCTACTGTAATGAGGTGATAACAGTAATGAAAATATTTGAAATAAAACTGCATTAAGTGATATTTGATACAACTTCTGGTATCTAAAATTTCCTTTCTTACTTATTTAAAAACAAACAATTATGTTGACTGCTGTGGGAGATATTGCCTTTCAGAAAAAATCAGTAATTATACTATACACGCCCAAAGTCCTAGTGTTACCAGTCAGTGGGAGTCACTACAATAAAAGTAACCAACCACACTTCAAATCATACACACATATATATATATTTTTAAATGTTTTCACTGATAATGACATCATTGTTTGCAGAAAGAGAGGAATTTTAAAAGTTTTTTTTTATGAAGAACATTACACTTTACACTAACAACCTTTTTTTCCTAAAAATGTGGCTGAATTTTCTCCAGCAGGAAATGGCCATATGGCATAACGGGTACATCCTGTCTAATACAGAAATTTTTTTTTGAGGAAAAGAGAGGGCAGCTCTTAGATAATTATTGTGATGGGCATATTGTACTTTCTATAAATGTATGAAGAAAGATATGAACTAGAGATAAAAAAGAAGAAACCTTACTGTTTTCATTTCTTTTTCATTGTGTTACTGTTAACAATGTTCATAAGTTTGAAATTATTGGGGAAAAAATGCACTTGACCTTTGACCTTGAGTTTAAGTGACATGACAGCAGCGCTCTGTATATCAGCTTAAGGTAATGCTAATATACAAGTTTCATTAAAAAATGTTCAACAGTTTAGAAGTGATAGCCAAGACAAAAGAGTAAAAAGATAATCATAATAACTTGAATGACTCAAATAACCATGTATCTATAGACCATTGTACTTTTACTAAAATGTCATGATTTGAATAAATAGTCTGGTCTTTGAACATGAGATTCAAGGTCACAGCGACTTAACGACAGTGCATTACACATTGGCTTTAAGTTATGAAGGTGTACGGAAACTTTCATTAAGAAAGATTTAACATTTTAAAAATTACTGCCTGGAAAAGAAATTATTAGAAGACCAGAATATGAACCAGAAGAACCAGTACTAAGGAAATATTCATTCCGATGGCAGACATTATCATCTTAAAACCGAAAGAACCAACAGACCCATGGACCTTAAGGGTCATCTGGTCATCTGACTGTAAAGAGGAAATATAGGCCTAAAATAAATTGCTCAAATACACTACAGCTTACATAGAAGACATTGGTTGGTTCATAAAGACATTTTCTGCAAACTTGAAATCATTCTTTATGCATGACTACACAAATGCCATTACTCAGAACATACTGCATGTTTAAAAAGCATGCTACAAGCCCTGCAATATCAAGACCCATGGCCTTTTGGTTATTGAGAACTTGCTTATGCATTTCAACACATTGGACACCTGTGACCTTGACAGTAAGTCAAGAAGAACAAACTTGGAAGACTTTCATTCCAGTATGCTACAGGCTCAATATCAGCACCATAG